GCAAATGAATGGCTTGATAGGCTGTTCGGTTGCCTCTGCTTGACTCTTGACTTCTTGGGGCTCAGAGGTTGAGAGTTGAGACTGACCGCCTGCGGTGAAGACTTGCCGCCTTTGCCATGCAGAGGCTTAGAACCCACACAATCGGATAGTCGCATCAGATGTTGTCTTGTTGGAGAATGGAGCTGAGGGGAGAAGAGATCCATCTGGCAAAGTGACAGGTCACAGAAGGCGTCCCCGAAATGCGACGAGGCAGGTACCGGGGACAGGTACGGGTGCTTACCTGGTTCGTGAGTCCACCGCTGCCTCACCTCCCTTCACCACCTCACCTTGGATGTATCTTGCTTCGTACCTTCTCTATGCTTAGGTAAGGCAGTTTCGGTTCATCTTCGCTGCCACTGGCAATTGGACTGAGGTGTGAGACTGAGACTGAGGAACCGGAGCAGTACGTACCTCGCTCCGCCGTCACCAGCTCAGCCCAGCTTCCAGCGGGTCCTTCGGGCCTGTAATCCCCACTCCAACCCACTGGACGAACTCCCTTTGACACCCAAATTAGCACTCGGCCACTCGCTGAGGGCTGTCGTCACGGTGAGCCAGAGAAGCCAGAACGACATGGCTAGGTTGTCCCTGATTGCCGTTCAGGAACCTTGCCCCCCTTCTCGAAGAACAACACTCGCAAGTTCGCAACATAAACGCGCAACATACGACACCAAGTGACCACCCACACACCAATGTCCAACGGGCAACTCGTGCGAGAGATTCTCCTTGGGAACTCCTTGGAGACTCCTTGAGGGAGGAGTGCAGCAAGGTTTGCTTGGCCTTCCCGTATCCATGTGGTCCGTCGGAAAATACCACCAGTCAGGATGCAATGGATTGGCAATGGCACCATCTGATCGACCATCCGTGTGACGAAAGCCCGCCGTTCCTGGATGTGCCGTGGTCAAACAGAACTGGGCCGCCTGTTTGAGCGCCTTGAGCAAAGCCTGTCTTGCCCTTTTTCTTTTCCCCGATTCGATCCCTTTCTCGGATAGGCAATGAGGCACGGGGGTGTACAGTGTAGGGACGGAGACACGGAAACCGCAAAAGCTGCCACACCTACTGTGTAATCGAGGCTTTGGCTTCTGATTGAATGTTTGAAAGCTGCAAGCCTTAGGAGGGGATTCGGTGGATGATCTGAGACTCAGACGACGACGGAGGTAGACCCGAGACGGGATGGCAGCATTGGCACTGTCATCATCAGGATGGGTTGATGAGGGGGATGCTCGAGACCAGACCCAACTGCCGTCCATACGTCCAACGTCATCATGCCATGCTCATGTACTGGTGGGTGTTCTGAAGGGGGAAAGGGAAGAGAGAGAGAGAGGAGAGATAGCTGGGCGTGTTATGATCTGAGGCCAGGGAATAAGCCAGCAAGCATCATCAACAACACCAGTCAAGACTGGCTGCGGCATGCGGCGGCCTGCCTTTTTGCTGCCCAGGGTGCACACTGCACAGGACTGACGCGAGCGTTTCGTCTACAATGGGCAAAAGGGAAACCAAAATTGCCAGCCATCGACGCAAGATTCCCGAAGCCGGGGATGCCTGTCTTCTTCGTTGCGTCAGCCACCGTCACTAATTATCCTGTGGATGGGCAACACAACAAGCGACCGGAGTGGTTGGGATGGAAATTTGAGTATCCTTCTTGATTCTGCGTCTAATGTCTGGGCATGTCTGGGTATCACCGCTGCTGGGTAAGGCAACCTGTGCCTGTGTAAGCGTGGGATTTGTTTGGGTTCCTGTTCATCTGACTCTTAAAAAGTATGGATAACATCAACAACAATCCATGCCAAGTGGGAATTGATGGATGAGGTCAAGTCTTTCTGCCCAAGACTCGCATGTTTGGTTTGCCATGACCGAATGATACTAGTCAATAAACCATGCATCCAGATGCAAGAGAATGGGCACCTATTCATACTTACTTCGTACCCATCCGTAGGTACTTGAGGTGGTTGTCGAGTGATTGGCCATTTTTTTTTGCCGCCTTATGTCACTTTGTTTTGTGCCCGTATTCCCAATTTCTCGCTTCCCTTCTTCTTTTCCCGACTCCATTCATTGATCCTCGCCCACATTGCTGCTGGCCCCCCATCCCCTGCCGGGCCTGCCCTCGTTCTTGCAGATACGCTAAAGAGCCGAGAGGGAAAAGAGGACCATTGCCGGGGGTTTCCTTCTCGTTTTTTTTCCCTTGCCAAGTTGCCGTTGTACCCCTGTCTCGGTGCCCTCTTCTCGGCCCTCGTCCACGTCGTCTTCGGTTCTCACCTACGGGTTATCCGCACCGCCTATTTCGTTGTCCACCACTTGCTACCTAGTTACTTGCCATCGTACGGAAAGCAAAGCTCCAGGCACAAGTTAGGTACTCGAGGGGTGTGTGATCACAATTGTAGAGACAAAAAGACAGCAAGAGAGAGTTACCTAGACCAGAGAGAAAACGCCAAACCAGATGATCCCGCTCAGACGGCGCGCTAAAAGTGAAGGAGTGAAAGAAAACCAAAGTTGCCAAAGAAAAGGTACACGCGAGGTACATCGGAAATGTACAGGGGGGGCTTTGGACACAGAGCGCAGCATCGCATCAACACGGACCATTCTGCACTACTGTGCAGCAGCACCTCCACCCCAACCTACCTGTATTCGTACTCCCTACGCAGTAATGGCATGAGCGAGGAGAGGTTCCCAGTTGTCCCGTCCATGTCTTTCCTCTTCTTCGTAGGTTGTTGTTAGGTACGAACCCACTTGGTGCATCGCCCACCGCCGAAATACCTTCTCAGAGTCCCAGAATCCCAGAATCCCAGCTCTGGTATCTGGACCGTAGCCCGTCCATCTTCCCGCTCCTCGCGACTCGTTTCCCAACCCCGACTCAGCCTTACTTCGCTTTATGAACCCTGCATAACTTACAGCAACGGCATCTGGATCCTCTCTCTCCAAGTTCGAACCCCCTTTCTGATGTATCCGTACACCCATTGCTACTAGGTACGGAGCATGTACTCGGACCTGGCAATCCCAATCCTAAAACTCAATCCCACGCCCGTCCATCATCCACCATCCACCATCCAACTCACTACATATACCGCCCCGACCTCCCACCTCATCCTCTTGTGCTCTCCTACTCACCTCTCCAACCCGACATTGCGTGATCACGTTTACGACCGAGTACGAGTTACTGCCCTAATCGCACACCCGAATACAAGTTGCATACGAATATGAGCAGCACCCCCTACTGCTCAGGACCGAGGACAGGAAGAGTTGGCTTTTACGACGTTTACCACCCACGACCGACACGATCCACCAACAGATAATTTTCTACCCGTTTCGGTATTGTTTGCTGTTATAAAACGGGAACCACTTCGCACACATACATTCCAATAATACAAACAATTACCACTCCCGAGAGCCAGAGCCGCGGGCACGAGACACAAGACAAGATGGGCAACATGGCGAGGCAGGTCCAGAACACCGACTACTCGGACGACGAATACGGAGCCGAGGACGCCTACTTCACCTACCGACCCCTCTCTAACCTTCCCACCCCGCCACCTTCATCCAGGAATTCTTCCGCCCACCAGAGCCCGAAAACGGCCTTGGAAGAAGGCGACATCCTGCAAGAAAAGTTCCTTGGTACGTGCAGCCGAATTACGTGATGGGCGGATGGGGGAAGCTTTGGCAACCCTTACAAACTTACCCCGTGTGCTCCGACCCTCGTTCGTTCGATGCGCATGCTCCAAATGCAATATATCATCTGCAATGTAATGCTAACCTCCCCGCGCTTGCAGGCCCCGCCATCCACCTCGTCAACCTCGTTCCCACGTCAGCTTCCCTCTCGACCCCGTCGGTGCCTCTCGTTCAGGTCATGCTCAGCCGGTCCGGGCTCCCGCTCGAGACCATCGCCTTGGCAGTCTGCATCCTCGACTCTCTCAACTCCAAGTTCGCCCTGAGCTGGCGCCTGCAGTGCCCCCTGCTCGTCGATGGCTCCTCCTACAACAAACGCCACACCCTCGGCCACAGCCCTCTCCTCGACCGCCGGCGCCAGCAGCAGCTGCATATCGACTCGGTCCAGCCCGAGCTCATCATCCTGTCTGCCCTCATCATCGCCGCTAAGTTCACCGACGACTGCCACGACTCGACATCATACTATTCGTCAAACTGGGGCAAGGATACTTGGTCGTGCGAGCAGATCAACGTGACGGAACGCTGCATCTGCGAGAACCTCAACTACCGCATCAAGCCCCTGGTCGACGATGAGGATCTCCTCGCCGATACCATGGTTGATATGCAGTTGGCCGCACGGCACTACAACGCGGCCCGCCCCGTCCAACCCCACGAGATGGGTCACAGCAAGAGCAAGAGCATGACAATCGGTACCGCCGTGATTGGCCTGGGTCTGCAGCTGACACCCGTCGACACACCCAAGTCTGAAGCCGAGTCCTTTGGCGACGAAGTGCGTGCGGCTCTCGAGAAGACGACCTTTGGCGGGGACTACATGTCCTTGACCTTTTCGGGCAACGACATGGGTCTGTCTCCAGTCGGTGAGGAGTTTTGAGGAACGAAGTTGGAAAAGAAAAGGCACGACGGGACAATCAGCGAGCGAGCGTTTTTGTTTGACTGTCACGATGGTTGATTTGCATGCCCTGCGGGACACCGAGTTCATCTCGGTTGAACAGCACATCTATCTGCATGAGCCCCTTCGGCTTGTTGTATACTGAGGGGCGACATCATTTTTTCCAAAGCTTGAACGTTTTTTTTAAGGATACCAAAACCTCGGCCTCGACGAGGGCTCCGATGGGTTACGCATCTTGTAATTTTTCTTGGGCGATCAACTGGGCTGGCGTATATGGTGGGACAGGGGTTTTATCGGACGGGGGTTTGGGATCAAGGTCGCGATACTGGAAATCATGGTTCATCTTTTTTATCATACCCTATTTGATAATGTAGTCCTGGAAAGACAACATTCATTTTCTCACTTAAACACGTTGTTTTCTCATAGTGACTTCGTTTGATTTGTTTGTGATGATAAGGTACATCGTGATTCTAAACAACAGCAACAAAATCATGTTTTATACCTAGTGACTACACCATCACCGCCTAAGGGCTCAACCTGTTAATCGTCCACTTATCCTCCTCGCCCTCCACCTTGTCATACACAAACCGATCATGAAGCCGACTATCCCGTCCCTGCCAAAACTCAACCCTCTCCGGCACAATCCTCAACCCGCCCCAAAACTCAGGCACCGGAATCGTCTCCTTGCCCTCAAACTTTTCCTCCACCTCCTTCACCCACCCCTCCAACTGCGCCCTCCCATCATCCCGCCCCTCCCCGCCCTCGCCCTTCACGCCCTCCCGCGGCTCCAACACCTGGCTCTGCCGCGAAGCCCACGCCCCGATCCGGCTCCCGCGCACGCGGGTATCGTAGTACACCTGACTCTCCTCCCTGCTCAACCTCTCCGCCTTACCTTCCACCCTCACCTGCCTCTGCAACGCCTCCCACCAAAACGTCAGGCTCGCGTACTTGTTCGTCTCGAGGTCGGCTGCTTTGCGGGATGTGCCGAGGTTGGTGTAGACTACGAAGCCGCCCTTGCCGTCGAGTTCTTTGAGGTAGACCATGCGGGCGGAGACGCGGCCGGAGGGGAGGTGCGCGGTGGAGAGGGTGCATGTTTCGGGGTGCGGGACGGCGTGGGTTTCTTGGGCTGCTGTGAACCAGGTGTTGAATTGGTGGGTTGGCGAGGTTGGGTGTAGGCTGGGGAGGGAGAGGCGGCCTAGGGTGAATTGGGAGGCGCGGGTGTTTTGGGAGGAGCCCGAGGGTGCGACTTGGGGATGTTAGTTTTTTTTATTTTATTTTTTTGGTGTTTTTGGCGAGGGGGAGGTGGTGAGGTGAGATGAGATGGGAGAGTTTGTTCTTTCTCGACCTTCATCGTCATCGTCTATCATCCCGGTGATCCGGGTCTACTTCTACTCCCCTTCCCTCATCGTGCCTCTTCACCCGGGACGCCGTGCTACACAGAGCAAAAGAGCAGTGCGTGAGAGAAGGAAAGACTGACAAATGAGCTTCTCGCTCTCGGGAGGCGGATGCAGAGCCATCTTGAGCGATCTCGAGAATCTATACGCAAAGCCGGGCCGCATATGCGAGCAGTCTTAACAACGTCAACTTGCCGAGAGTCCTTGTCAAAATTCTTATACACCCAACTCTCTCGTCAGCTGATGGAGGGGTAGAAAGGGGGGGGGGTTTACTTGTGAGTAGGGAAAAAGCGACTCACAAGAAAGATACTATGTGTATGTACGTTCAGATCAATGCAGCTTGGGAGTTGTATGCTACACAAGTGTCGTGAGGGAGTTTTGGGTGTTGCGCGAGGTAGGTATGTAGACCCGTGAGTAAGAGTGAGGTGATTTACGCGTTTAAAAAAGTGTACACATGTCATGACTTGACTTTCCCTCTCATGATGCTTGCATTTGAGTGAGGGGCACCCCCCAGCTGCAGCAAAATGCCCCACATTCCCCGACCACGTTTGTTCGTGCTGAGGTGGGTGGACAGCCGCAGAATGTTCCACCCATTCTTCTTCCCTCACACCACGGGCAGACATCGGATTGTACGTAGGCGCAGCCGCGCAGCGCGCAGAACAGCCGACAACGGGTCCCATTTCCAAGGAGCTGAGATGCGGAGCAGGGATCAGCCCAGCAGTGCTCCGATCGGACCACTTGATGACTGCACACATTCGACACTTTATAGAGACAATACACAGAACGCAGAGTACGCACACACGCAAGACACACACATAACGCAACAGACCAAACAAACGTATTTCATTCCGTACATACGACGGGAGGGGGTATCATATCGTAAGAAACGCCATCCAAATACGCAAGATACGCAACGTACGCAACAAACGTAACGCAACGCAACGCACTATACACACTGCCCAAAACACCTCTAAACCCAAACAAAACATGTAATCCCTCGTACACCACGACGTCGTGATGGCGCGAGCCAAATAACGAACGTCTGACGGCGCGTTTTCTTATACGCCAGTTTTGAGGAATAGTTGCTTCCTACTTTGTGTGTGTCTATACTATCATCCCGAAAAAAAGAAAAGCCCGAAACCCAAAACACCAAACTGTTCTAAAAACTTTTTTGCACGTATGCTTTTTTTCTCATGTCCAGGTAGGTTCCCCATACAAGTAGGAAGGAAAGCCAAAAGAATTGTCATCTCTATGGTGCCATAACCAACGCAAGCAAAGCCATGCGGCAGTACAGACCATATCTCATCTGGGCAACTTGTCAGCATTCGTGTTCAAATCTAAAGGGTCAAGGGACTTACCTGTCTGAAGTACGCCGCACGCTGGTCAGTGTCAACCTCGGGCGCAATCTCCTCGTTTCTCGGGAGAGGGTGCAGGATGCACATGTCTCTCTTGGCCGACTTGAGGGTGCGGTTGTCGATACGGTACGAGTTCTTGACCTTCTCGTAGTCCTCCACCGTCGGGAACCTCTCCTTCTGGACGCGAGTGCAGTAGAGCACGTCACTCTTGGCCAGGATCTCGGGAGTAAGGTCCTCAGACTCGCAAAGGAGCTGTCCAGACTCGACCAAGAAGTTGCGCACATCGTTGGGCAGAGCAAGTCCCTTGGGAGAGACAAGCTGAACCTGGACGCCATAGTCGCGAAGAAGGTAGATCAGGGAGTGAACGGGGCGGCCGTAGAGCAGGTCACCAACAAAGGTGATGGTAAGACCCTGGACGGTTCCAAGCTCCTCACGAATGGTGAAGAGATCAAGGAAGGCCTGAGTGGGGTGCTCTTTGCTGCCGTTACCACCGTTAATGACGGGAACGGGAGAGTACCTCTTAGCAATCTCGACGCTGTGCTCGTCAGGGTGGCGGAGAACGACGGCGTCACCGTAGCAGCCAAGGGTGCGCAAAGTGTCCTGCAGAGATTCGCCCTTCTGGACCGAAGATTGCGAGGTGGCAATGGCGACGGTGCGGCCGCCAAGTCTCTGCATCGCGGCATCGAAGGAGGCAGAAGTGCGGGTCGAAGGCTCGTAGAACAAGGTGCAGAGGACGCGGCCCCGCAGAACGTTCAAGACACCCTCGCGCTGGACGCCCAGACGCATCTGCTGGGCAACAGTGAACAGGTGGTGAAGGTCAGCACGGGTGTACTGGCTGACAGACAGACAGCTGTGGCTCTTCCAGGACGACGGCTGCGACAGGAGATCCTGAAGCTTGGAGCCAACGGCTGGGTGAAGAGGGGCGGGAAGACCAAAGTCCTCAAATCCACTGTTGCTCTTGTTAGGCAGGTAGCCGTCGGTGGGCCGAAGCTTTGTGGGCCTGGAAGTGTTGAACAGCGACGGGCGACGGTCACGAGGGCTGTCGGGGTTGGTCAAAGACTGCAGCTGAGGCTTGATCGCGGGAGACATGGGCAGAGCGCCGTGAGTGGACATGTCCTTGCCAAGAGCAGGCAGAGCCAGCAGCTCACCATCAAGGCAGACAGTCTGGTCCTGGAAGGTCACACGCTGAACAGAACCGCGCATGGTGCGGCCAGCGAAAGGAGACCAGCCGTTGGTGTTGTGCACGGCGTAGGGACGGTCAATCTCAACCTCGACGCTGGTTCCAACCTGCTCGTGGAGCTCAAAGATCTCTTTGGGGTTGTCGTAGAGACGAGCCTTGATATCGTCGACGGTCAGCTTGCCCTCGGTAACGGAGGTGAGGAGCAGAGGCAGAGCGTCGGCAATGCCAACGGAGGGATCGGCGGTCTTGCCCAGAGAGCTAGCAAGCTGGTAAGGCAAGCTGCCGATGGAGAAGACGTCGATCGTGCTCAGGTGAGCCCAGAGAGCGTTCTGGTCGGCCTTGGTGGGGAGCAGAGCACAGTCGGGGAAGTCATCCTGCGAGAGGTACAGGGAGAAGATGGACACGTCGCAGGTGACCTTCAAGCCCTTGGCCTTGCTAAGAGCAATGAGCTTGATGTCGTCCTTGGTGGAGACCGAGGTAACGTGGATTCTCCGGTTGTGCAGGCTGGCCAGGAGCAGGATAGAAGCCAGGTCGGTGAGCTTGGCATCAGTGACGATGGGCTTGTGCGCGGGCCACTTATCGAAGTGGGCAGTGACGGCAGCGACCTTGCTAATGTTTCCAGACAGGTGGTTGAAGGGGATGAAGAGCGATCCGACCTCACCGGTGACGTGGCTGATACGGTCAGAGTTGTCAGAGGTGGCAGTGACGGAGAAGTTGAAATCGCAGAATCCACCCTGCTTGCTGCTCTGCTGGGCGACCTTGAGGGTGACGGCATCAGTAATTGAGCCATCGACACCGACAGGCATGAAGCGGACCATGCTGAAACCGGCCGAAATCGAGGCCTTGGTGACAGCCTTGAGATCCTTGCTTCCGGCAGTGGCGATACCAGGAACGAAGGCGGCGACGTTGATCAGGCCAGGCAGAGAGATGGTACGGTGGCTGGTCTGGAAGTCGCGGCTGCCAATCTCGAGTCCGAAGTGGCGGGCAATGGCCTCAACGAGGATCTTGGCGTTCTTGACGTTGGTGACCAGAGGAACCTGGTAGTCGACAGCCATACGTCTGGTCTGGTAACCCTTACTCATGTAGTTGGCAGGACGGCGGTACTTGTTGTTGGAAGGCAAGTTGATGTAGAGATCAATCATGTTCTTGGCCAAGTGCTGCGTGAGGGAGAACTCGGAACGCTGGTCTTCCTGCTCATTGGCGAGGACTTCCAGGTACTGAACGGGAATGTTGTGCTCCTGGAGGAAGTCGGCAGTACCGGCAGTAGCGAACAGCTTGTAGCCGAGGCGAGCAAGCTTGTCGATCGCGGGCAGCATCTCCTTCTTGTCCTTGTAAGAACCGATGGACAGAAGGATGTTGGCCTTGGGGATCTTGAATCCGGTGGACATCAGAGCCTTGAGGTACGCCTCGTACTTGTCGACACCGAAGCAGGCGACTTCACCAGTGGAAGCCATCTCAACACCCAAGACGGGGTCGGCGCCAGAGAGACGCGAGAAACTGAACTGAGGAACCTTGACACCAACGCAGTTGGGAGCGATATCGGTGGCAGGGTAGGCCTCGAACGGCTTACCAGTGATGGCCTTGGTGGCCATCTCAATCATGTCGACACCCATGACCTTGGAAACGAAGGGGAACGAGCGAGAAGCACGAACGTTGCACTCAATGACCTTGATATCGTTGTCCTTGGCGATGAACTGAATGTTGAAGGGACCAGTGACATTCAGAGCAGCACCAATCTTGCGAGTGGCCTCCTCGATTCTGGCAATGGTCTCGGGCTCCAAGTCCTGAGGAGGCAGAATGAGGGTGGCATCACCAGAGTGAACACCGGCGTTCTCAACGTGCTCAGAGATGAAGTGGCCAATGACGACACCATCCTTGGCAACGGCATCCATCTCGATCTCCTTGGCGTTCTCAATGTACTTGGTGATAACGACAGGGTGCTCGCGGGAAACCTCAGCAGCCTGGGCCAGGTAGTTCTCGAGATCCTGCTCGGAGTAGACAGTGTTCATGGCAGCACCCGAAAGGACGTAAGAAGGTCGCACCAACACGGGGTAGGAAACGGCGTTACAGAACTTCTTGGCCTCCTCGAAGCTGGTCAACTCCTTCCAGGTGGGCTGATCAACACCAATGGTGTCCAACATACGAGAGAACTTGTAGCGGTTCTCAGCGTTGTCGATCATCTCAGGAGAGGTACCGAGGATCTTGATGCCGGCACGGTGGAGCGGCAGAGCAATGTTGTTGGGGGTCTGTCCACCCATGGCACCGAGCACACCACCAGCGTCTTCCAGCTGGTAGATATCGAGAATAGACTCCAAGCTGATGTTCTCGAAGTAAAGCTTGTCGGCCTCGTCGTAATCGGTACTGACGGTCTCGGGATTGTAATTGACCATGATGGTCTTGAAGCCATCCTGGCGCAGGGTGCGAATGGCACGAACAGAGCACCAATCAAACTCGACGGAGGAACCAATGCGGTAGACACCGGATCCCAAGACCATGATACCGTGGTCGTCGAAAGACACATCGCTCTCGCTCGCGTTGTAGGTCAGGTAGAGGTAGTTGGTGTAAGCAGGGAACTCAGCAGCAACGGTATCGATTTGCTTGACAAACGGCATGATGCTGGCCTCCTGTCTCAGGGATCGCACGGCAATCTCGTTGGAGCTCCAGAACTTGGCGAGCTGCCGATCGGAGAAACCGAGTCTCTTGGCCTGAAGGAGGATGGCAGGGGACTTGGAGATATCGCTGGTAGTGTAGTTGGTCATGTTCTTGGCAAAGTCGCTCAAGCCCTTGAGCTTGTTGAGGAACCACTTGTCGATCTTGGTAAGCTCCCAGATCTTGTCGACGGTGTAGCCAGAGTGCATGGCGTTGGCAATGGCGAACAATCGCTGGTCAGAAGGAGTCTGCAGCTCGTCAT